TTGATCAAGCCACCTAAAAAGTTTGACATTGAGTTATAGTTAAAAAAAAAAAAAGAAAATAGGAAAAAGGGAAAGATGTTATGATACGCAAAAACCTTCCGGACATCAACGTTTGCTTTTTCTTTCTTATGTAACTCTCAACTGTTATGTAACTTTCTGGACTGGTTATGTAATCACTTCGGACTACTCACGTGTCAGTTCTCGGGTTACACGAGTAAACATTATAATAAGTGAGTCGCTATCGCGTTGTTGTTGTTTCGTTAGCTCTAAAGGTAACCTGCCTCTCAAGTAATTAAAGTTTGTGTTCAAAGAAGCTTACTGGACTCAGACTCACTATCTTGCTCTCTCGCGTCCTAAAGGACAAAACTATACATATTGAACTGCCAAAATCCGGGGAAAAAATTTTCGTGTCATATACACTTTAAACAAGCAAACGAAACCAAAAACCGCATAACCAACATCGATGATAGTGAGCTGGTTGTAAAGAGGAACATTGCAAGATATGTCGAGGAAACAGGGCAAATTGAAATGGACAGAGCTTATAAATAGTGATCTTCTGGAATGCAAGAGAACAGCGAAGGATCTGATATCGTCTGTAGACCCTCCATGAAACGTTACCGGGAGGAAGAAGGGTTATATCGGAGTAATGGTGGATTTATGGGAAGAAAAGGGTTACATATACTTGGGGCTGAAAAGCCAGAATTTACGGGATCAAGCCTCGAGATTGGAGAAAATGGAGCAAGAGCAGAACTATTCACGAAGTAATAGTACTTTATTCGAGAGTGGGAACAGGTTAGAAATTGAGTCGGATGATATAGAAGAGAAGGCGACCGAGGAAGATAATAATCAAGCTGAATTGCGAAACATTCAAAACAATAGCCCACAGCAGCAGTTTGAAAACGCTAATTCCGTTATCTCGGATTTTCATCAGCCAGTAACAACCGAGAGTGGCCGAGTACCTTCTCCCACGGGACTGGCTAGTACAATAGTCACAGATCAAAACAAAATCAAACCAAATCTGCCCGATTATGTTTTGTTTCCTTCCGAAATAAAGAACAAAACATGGGGTAATATTAGCCACGCGAGCTTCTGTAATATTGTCAATGGTGTTTACGACGAAATCGTCTACTACAGGAGAAATATATCCAATTTACCATCTAGCCGTGCAGGGAAGAGTTTCATTGAAGAATTAACTTTCTGGATTAAGCAGTTCAATGCAGATTCTGATTTGAACTCAGTTGCCTTGAAAGCATTCATGGTGCTCCCAACTTTGATCCTGCAGAAACCGTCCGCTACTTCTAAAAGCGAGGAACACAGCGCAGCAATAGAGCGTCGATTAGCTCTCTGGAAACAAGGGGAGCTTGATTTGTTGCTTAAGGAAGTGAGGTTTCTCCAGGGAAAATTTGTGAACTCTAAGAAAGCTAGGACGGTCGAGGACGTATCCAAAGTTTTTTCAAAACTGGTTCTGCAAAGAAAATTGTTAGCCGCAGTGAAACTCCAAGATAACGAGAGCTCGTCTGGCCTGCTCGACCTATCACCAGACGTCCTGCGAGGATTACATGACAAGCATCCAGAGGCGGCTGATATTGCGTGAGTTTGTTGCACGGTCCAGTTGATTATATTCCACCAAACGTGTATGATCTCATAGACCAAGAAATGATTTACAACTCGGCAAGCAAAACCAAGGGCTCGGCAGGGCCACCGGGAATGGACTCGGAGCTTTATAGGAGAATCCTGTGCTCTAAGAACTGTAAGACTGAGGGTAAAATCCTAAGAGAAGAGATAGCTGTGTTCAGGAGAAATCTGCTTAAGAAATCGTACCATCCATTTTTCCTGGAAGCCTTTACATCTTGCAGGCTCATCCCGCTCGACAAGAACCCTGGAATCAGACAAATGGGCGTTGGAGAGGTCCTAAGGCGAATAGTGAGAAAAACGGTCAGCGGTTTCTTAAAGGAGGAAATAAGAGAAGCGGCAAGTCCCCTACATGTTTGTGCTGGTCATAATGCAGGGGCGGAGGCTGCGATACATGCAATGAGCCAAGTGTTTGAAGAAGAAGGAACAGATGGGATTCTGTTGATCGATGCAAGTAACGCCTTTAAGTAAATGAATAGGTCAGCGGAAATGGCGCTTTATGTAATAAACACCTACAGAAGCCCATCTAGACTGTTTATCTGCGGTGGAGGTGAAATACTTTCACAAGAA